GATAGGAATGTCACCATCACACAAAATGAAAATGAAGATACCGGACCACCTATTCTCGAAGCGAAAGAAGAAGCTGCTTAAACAATATTAAGTAAGGAAAGCTGCAGGACCAGACGAGTTCTACTCAAAATTTTTAAGAATTATGGATAAAGACGAAGTAAAAAGACTCACCTTAATCTTTAACAATATATACCAAAGTGGGAAAATACCCCAAGAGTGGCTCAAATCAACTTTTATAACATTCCCAAAAAACCCAATACTAAAAATGTGAAGATTATCGAATATTAAGCCTTATGAGCCCTCTCCTTAAAACTTTTTAGTATTATACATAAAAGAATATATAAAAAGTGTGAAGAGCACATGACCAACACACAATTCGGCTTCAGGGATGCATTGGGTACTCGAGAAGCACTTTTTGCAATACAAGTTCTCTTTCAAAGATGTAGAGACGTGAATTGTGATTTATGTGTATTTTGTTGATTACCAGAAAGCGTTCGATAGCATAAAATATGACGAACTGATGAAAATATTAAATTCAATTGGTCTAGACAGCAGAGATCGCCGTATAATAAACAATATCTATTACGAACAAACTATAGCTGTTAGAGTTGGGATCAGTTAACAGACGACATAAAGATAAAAAAGATATGTGCGACAGGGATGTATATTGTCCCCATGATTGTTCAATACAATTTCAGAGCACATTATGAACCTAGCGCTAACGGTCATAGACGAGGGAATACTTATAAACGGAGAACGAGTAAACATCATAAAATACGCTGATATTAATGCCATTTTTGCAGACAGTCTTGAAGGCCTGCAGACACTTGTCTCCAGGGTGGCAAAAGTAAGTAGCAGGTTTGGGCTAGATTTTGATCAAAAAAACCAAATACATGGTTATAAGCAAACATAGGATACCACCTGGTCAATTACTGATTAACCAACAGCCTATAACACAACTCACCAACTTTTGTTATCTGGGTGCAAACTTAAATATGAACAGTAGGACCAATCGACGGAAATTAAGATAAGTATCGAGAAGGCAAGATCAGCTTTCGTCAAAATGAAAAAATCTTTAACATCCACGATATAAAATTGGAAATAAAAGTTCGTTAACTAAAATCCTACGTATTCTTTGTTCTTTTATATTACGTGGAGTCGTGGACCTTAACTGAGGCATCACTGAAGCGACTCGAAACATTTAAGATGTAATGCTATAGACGCATGTTAAGGATTTCCTGGATAGACAGAATTACCAACGAAGAACCACAGAATGAGTAAAGAGCGCGAACTAGTCGCAACCATAAAAAATGCGCAATGAAAAACGATATGACCTACTTTGGACCATACTTCAAGGTAAAGTGCATGGGAAAAGAGGTCCAAGACGAAGAAGAATATGCTGGCTGCATAACCTGCGAAAATGGTTTAACTTAACCACTACCGGATTTTTCAGGACAGCAGTCAACAAAGTCAGAATAGCTATTTTAGTGTCCAACATCCGTAACGGATAGGCACCATAAGAAGAAGAAGTTGGGAATAAACTAATCTTGTGGCCTAGTCCCAACTAAAATAGTAAATTGATATGACAAAGTATTAATTTGTAAAAGTAAAATAATAATATTCTTCTGACTTATGCGTTTTATTTATATTGTAAAGATTGTGTTTGTCAGTACTTTATACCTACATGAGCCTCAGAACCATAATCTTTTCTTAGAAGGGTTTTCACATAATAATGAAAGGCAACAACACCGTAATCTTTTTCCAGGGTATGCGTAAACATCAACCCCTCTTTTCAAATAAAATAACTTTTTAGATTTACAAAAGTTTTTATTTATTTATGAATTAAGTCTTTATTCGGCTCCAAATGTTTATTACTTACAATAAATATTTTTTCTACAAAAGTCGTCTTGCATTTCATTATTTTGTGAAAATCCTTTAGATAGATCCCACTCTCGAGATAGACAGCATACTATAGTAGCACCTTTTTTTTAATAAAGACAATTTAAATAAATAAATTTAACTTAAAATAAATAAAAAAATCAAAAACGAATCTTACTAAGAAACTATATGGGTAAAAATATGAATAGTACATTCAAGAATAGTTGTGAGTAGAACGGACCCGAGTTACCCAATTACATTAGTAAAATGTGATACCCGGATAGGGGTTCGTATACTATCGTTTATAACTGTCTCACAAATGCCGGTCAACTTTGACTGCTTATATCTCAATAACTACTGCTTTAAATTAAACCTTTTTTATCAAGGCTGTTTTTTGAATTTAATGAAAACTAATAGTTACCGAAGAGAAAAGTCTTCGATCAATGTGTGCTGCCGGTTCTAACCTATGGTGCGGAGACGCTAACACTTACTAAGACGTCCGCAAACAAAATTCGAACAACACAGAGGGCAATGGAACGGTCCATGTTGGGATTAACCCTGAGAGACCGAATACCCAACACAGAATTGCGCCGTAGATCGGGAGTAACCGACGCAATCAAAAGAATATCAACCTTAAAATGGAACTGGGCAGGGCACGTCGCGAGAACGAAGGACGGCAGATGGACAAAACGCATTCTTGAGTGGAGACCCAGACAAGATGCCTTTAGGAATAGAGGACGACCACCAACAAGATGGACGGATGACCTGAAACGGACACATCAAAATTGGATGCAGGCGGCTCAGGACAGAAATTTGTGGGGTGAACTACGGGAGGCCTATGTTCAGCAGTGGACGAGTATGGGCTGAATGATGATGATGATGATGATGAATAGTTACTGAGATATTCTAATTTTTAAAACTCCAAAAAATTGTTTATAATTTAAAAAAAATTCTGATGCCTCCCAGATAATCCAATTTTAATTGTATAACGTGCGTTGGATAGGTAATGTGCTTTTTTTATAGATACTTTTTTGGAGTCTCAAAATTGACGTTCTCAGCAAAATTCAACTTGTTCGTATGATTTTTAAAGGTCAAATCTCAGACGAGTAGACTATTAGAGAAACTGGACACATGAAATGTTAAAATGTTGGTCATCCAACAATAAATATTGATGCACACTTTGATGTATTATTAAGTGTGGCAGAAAAACCTCAAATTAACTCAAGACAAGGTAGCTGGTACAAACATTTTTAGAGTGCATTAAAGAGAAGAATTATCATCATTATAATTGAAGACATAAGTGAATAAAAGTCATATGTCACTTTTTTGAGAAACTTGTTTTATTGGTTTTTTGTTTTCCTAATATGCTCTTTAACCTTTTAAAATTTTAAAATTACCTATTGTTAGTTAATTAAAAAAACAGGTAAGTATTAAAGCAATATATCACACTAAATTTTTAAATTGTAATCAATGAAGGTATTATGTCCAAAATCGTGCACATATTACCTTTATCCACTCAAATGCTTAGTAGCTTTGGTTTTCTGACATTTAACTTTATAGGTTATGTTAGGGAAATCAGTGTAATTATGTAATTTATTTTATGCAAACAGTTTTACAGTTTTTAAGTCAAAAAGCAAATTTAATATGTTAACTTCCCCAAAAAAGATAAAATGCGTGGTGACAATAGCAAATTTACTAAGATGTAAATTGGAGCTGGAAGGTCAGCTAATAGAACAAGTGATGGAGTTTAAATATCTAGGCATCACATTATCTAGCTACGAAAATCTCGAAACCGAAGTGGAAGATCAAGTGAATAGAGCAAACAGAGCTGCAGGTTGCCTAAATGAAACAATATGGAAAAATAAAAATAACGGGAAAGAAACGAAAGGCAGAATTTACAAAACAGTCATCAGACCAATAATGACATACGCGACAGAAACAAGATCTGACACATAGAGGACAAAAAGGATGTTAGAAACAGCAGAGATGAGAGCACTTAGAAAAATTGATGGTAAGACACTATGGGACAGAGCTAGCAGTACATACATACGACAAAGATGCAAGGTGGAGAACATCAAAAACTAGGTAAGAAATAAAAGAGTAGAATGAAACGATCATATAAGCCGAATGACAACAAATAGAGTAGTAAAGATGGCAAGAGACGGTTTCCCAATAGTTAGACGATCAGTAGGAAGACCACGAAAACGATGGAATGACAACTTACTGGAAATACATTGAAAAACAGGCAGAGTCATGTCTATATAAAAGGAAGAAGAAGAAGAAGAAGTCAAAAAGCTACGAAACAATTATGGAGAGTAGAGGAAAAATAATTTACAGACTATATCTTCAACAGAAAGAAGAAAATACTGTTCAACAAGGTAATATTACATTATTATATAAAAGTTCATATAAATATATTTAATACTTGTTTTATGCAAAGTATCTACCAGTTAATACTTTTTACAGCAGTCTTTATCACATACTTATAATATTGTTGGTTTGAGATATATATCAAAGCGGGTACATGTTACCGCAGAAAGACAAAGACCTGCTGTTTCCAAACCTCAAAGGACGGTGAAAAAATTTTTTGAGCTTAAAGAGAAGAGAACTCGTAAAAGAGAACGCAACCCTATTAAATGAAAGAAAAAAAGGCAGCAATTCAAAAAGAAAAATGGTTGGAATATGTTTCTCAAAATGAAAAAAATATAAGAGCAAAAACAATTGAGGAAGATTGAGTATTATGTAAAGCAACACGCAGATTAAAGTGTGGAACCAAATTCAGCCTAGAAGCTAGAAAATCTATATTGAAAAGATTTTATAAATTAGAAAATAACGCAAATAACTGTCTTTTATTTAAAAAGCATTGACATAAATAAAGTTTTAAGACACAGAATTCGTACTGGAAGTAAAAAGGAGAAGTTAAGAGAATGTTCTTTTAAATAACCAATAACTTACGAAAAGCAAAAAGTATCTGTTTGTAAGGATGCAATTTGTTCGCTGTACCAAGTTGACTCAAATAAAATATTAAATCTTCAATAACAATTTAAATAAGGTCATTCAGCTCAAAGTCCAAGTAAACAAGGCCAACATACAAATAGACCTCACAAGATCTGTGAAGAGGTAGTAGAATACATTACTCAATATGTTCAAATCTTTCCAGCTAAGAGCTCTTACTATTCTTGAAACAAAAATCAGAATAGGAAGTATTTGTAAGTGTTTGGTGAAAAATATTTAGTTAAACTTTCCATGTATCGCCATGTGTTCGATGCTAAACTCAATCTATTAATTGGATATCCAAAAAGTGACACATGTAGCACATATAATTCTGGAAAAAATACTATTGAGCATAAAGAAAATTGTAGCATAGAGTTTGAATTTCAAAAAGTAGATAGGCAAAAGCCAATAACTGACAACAATATGTGGTACATCACAATGGATCTACAACAAACGATGCCGTTACCTAAGCTTTTAGCATCAAGAGCATTCTATTTACGTCAAGTATGGCTGTATAATTTTGGTATACATTGCATTACTTTATCAGGATCAAAATCTTACTTTTTTACGTGGACTGAAGATCTAGCTGATATACCATTAGACCAAGCAGACAACAGAGAAAGTCCACCAACAATAGCAGAGATTAGAACAGCAGTGGACAAATTAAAGAACAATAAATCACCGGGATCGGATCAAATATCATCGGAGCTACTGAAATAAGGAGGAGACGCATTACTTAAAGCCATACATGAGCTGATAAGAAAGATATGGTTGAATAAACAGCTACCAAAGGAGTGGAATAGCGACATTATTGTACCACTACATAAAAAAGGAAACCAGTTAGAATGTGAAAACTACCGTGGAATCACGCTGTTGAATGCGGCATACAAAATAATGTCCAACGTAATGTATGAAAGACTTAGACTATACGCTGAAAAAATAGTTGGCAAATACCAATGTGGCTTCTGTAGACAGAAGTCAACAATAGACCAGATATTTGTTCTGCGACAAATCCTTGAAAAAACAAGTGAATATAACATCGGCACACATCATCTCTTCATAGACTTCGAAAGCGCATATGACAATATAAACCGAGAATTCCTAACAAAAGCAATTAAAGAATTTAATATACCAACACAGCTAATAGAATTAATAAAAGAAACACTAAAAGTAGAAAGTAAAATCCGGATACAAAACGAATTAACGGAAACAATAGATGTGAAGAAGGGACTACGCCAGGGAAACGCTCTATCATGCATATTATTCAACATCATACTTGAAAAAAGAATAAGAAACACAACAGTTAATACCCGAGGAACAATAATTAATAAAAGCGTGCAAGTACTAGCATTTGCGGATGATGTTGACATAATCGCAAGATCAAGAAGAGAAATGATAGAGGCATTCACTCAAATACAACGAGCTGCAAAAAATAGTGGTCTTAAAATCAATCAGACAAAAACAAAATATATGCCTGCAAATAAAAACGCACAAATAAGGCAGCTGCCAAATTTAACAATAGGAGAATACAACATTGAGGCGGTAAAAAACTTTACATACTTAAGATCCCTAGTTACGTCTGATAACAACGTTGCAGAGGAAGTGAAGAGGAGAATATTTATTGCCAATAAATGTTACCATGGCTTAATTAGGCAACTAAGTTCAGATAACGTCTCCAGAAAAACAAAATGCCAAATATACAAAACCTTAATAAGACTGGTACTCACATACGGTTCAGAAACCTGGACACTCTCTAAAAGGGAGGAAACGTTATTAGCCACCTTTGAAAGAAAAATCTTGCGACACATATATAAGGGTACAAAAGAAAACGGGATTTGGCGGAGAAGGTATAACTTTGAACTATACAACATATACCAGGATCCGGATATCATAACATTCATTAAAATAGGAAGGCTACGTTCGATTGGACATGTGGAAAGAATGGAAGAAGGCAAAATACGAAACAAAATATTCAATCAAGTGCCAGTAGGAAAAAGAACAAGAGGAAGACCGAAGCTGAGATACGTAGAACAAATAGAAAATGATATAACAACATTAAAAATTAAAAACTGGAAAAAAAAAGCACGAAACAGGTCAGAATGGAGAAGAATCCTTGAACAGGCCAAGACCCAAAAAGGGTTGTCGAGCCAGTGATGATGATGATGATGAAGATCTAGCTAACCGAGGTAGTACTGAGATAGCGAGTTGCCTATTCAGATTTTGTAAGCTTTTAAAAGAAGAATATCTCCAAATTAATCATTTGATCATATTTATATGGTCAGATTCATGTTCTGGTCAAAACAAAAACTTTATAATTGTAGGTCTATATCAATATCTCATTTTAAATGGATATTTTAAAATAATAGAGCATAAATTTCCTGAAGAGGACTACAGTTATTTATATTCTGACAGGGACATTTTAAACATAGAAAAAAGATAGAAAAGAAAACATCAGTCAGTTTTAAATCCAGATCAATATCGTAACATTATCACGTCGGTAAGCACAAAAGATAGCATTATTATAAATATGGAATAAATATGTAATATGAACGAACCTCTATTTATGTAAAAAGCAAACAAATAGTTCAAACGAAAAGGTTTATTTTCGTGATAATGTAAAATGGATAAGAGTGAACAAATTTGGCCTCTATCTCTTATAAGACATGCCTTAATGACTACGTGCCATTTCGGCAAGTAGATTTAAGAGAAAAAAAAGGACAGCACATCTGACCAGAACCAAATATAGACCAAGAAGACTGGAAAATAAAACTGGTGGTTTGAGTTTGAAAAAACTGGAAAATTTAAGAGACCAAATGAAATTTGTTCCCGAAAGGTACATATGATTTTATGAAAACGCGATAGAGGAAAATAAAGCAAATTACAAAAAAAGAACCTACTAAAAATTTTGTTTTTATTAATTTTACACCCTGTATTGTAATTTTTTTTTGAAAATAAATGCCAATTTTTAATACTTATAACTTAACTCTAATGTATCCACTTAACCTCAATATTTTTTAATTATTTTTACTATGTGGATTAAGGCAATATGTCCAACAAATTTGAAATATTTTGGTAATTTTTTTTAAATTTAATTTAAAATGTAAAAAAGTACCTTCAGATACCTGTTTAAAAGAGTGTAGCAATACAAATTTATAAAATAAATAATTAACTTTGAACAAAGGACACTAAAGTGCTCATTACTCAAAAACATCATTTTGTGACAACCTTTATCCACTTATGTCTTCAATTTATAATGTCCAATAAATCAATCAGGATAATCTAGATCGCCAAATACAACTTTGCGAAATAATGCCAGATTTATATATTCAAAATCCACGTTTCATTCATTAAATTAATAAAGGGAATCCTTATTGTATGACTGAGACACATACTCAGCAACTGAAAAAGTTAACCTATGGGATAGTCGAGGTTAGAATTATAGTTTTTTTTTCATCGATTTTTTCTTTTTTCTGCAAAAATTAGAATGCCACGTCTGACATTGACCTGCACTGGATTATTAGAAGAACAAAAAAAAATGCACAACACAAAGCATACCACAAAAAGAAAAAAATGCAAAACAAGAAAGATATGGCTACAGTAAATATTAGAGGTGGAAAAATATTAATCGGAAAGAAAAAATAAAATAGAATCCAAGAAATGAGTGGAAATAGTATATTACTTTATGAGGCGGAGAAGCATGACTTTTCTTGACGCTCCCAATATATTTGTACTCACTTCGTTCGGCGCGTAATAGAGGGCAATTCTTTGCCGAATAAAGTATACTATTTTTTCTTCAGAAGTAGCAATTTTCAACCATAAATAGTACAATTCATACTCTATTTTTACTCGAAATTAACTGTGACAACTATCAAAGTCGTCTAGATGTTAGAAATTAAAATAATTAAGTCGTCAGTAGGATTTGCGTCTCCCTGGTTACAGTTGTTTGACAGTTGTTTGCAATTATTAAAGACAGCTTATTGTTGTTGCAACCTCAAGCGTAAATTTAGTGCAAAAATGGAAAACCTAAACGAAAATAAATCCGCGGCTAATAATGCAGTAGCACGTTTGGGGCCCTCCAAGTCCGGAATAAAGTATCGGTTAGCGTACAAGCACTTCCAAGAGTGGTGCGATACAAGAGGAGTACGGCAAGTTACCGAAGACGTTTTATGCCAGATATTTTAATATAATGGAAAATGAAAATAAATGGAAATCTTCTACAATGTGGTCACGATACTCTATGATAAAATCTGAGTTAGTTATTAGAAAAAATGTGGATATATGCAAATTTTTAAAGTTCCCTTTCTGAAAAAAAAACAAGCGAAGGATATGCTGCAAAGAAGTCTAAAGTTTTCACTAAAGACGAGTTTGATAAATTTTTGTTTGAAGCGCCAGAGAAGTTGTATTTAGGGTTAAAGGTAAAAAAAAATTATATTGCAAAGCATGTGGTATACTCTACTAAATTATAAAAATATTTCAGATTGTTTTGTTAATTGGGGTTACCGGCGCCTGTCGATGCGACAAAATGGTAAAATGAAGACTGTGGATATTGAGGATAAAGAAAATGTAATAATTATCAAACTCCCAGACAGTAAAACACGACAAATTAGATCTTTTACGATAATTGGTCAGAACTACATTAAACTGTATAAAAAGTATGCATCACTGCGGCCTGAAAATTTCACAGAAAACCGATTTTTTATCAAGTACCAAAATGGAAAGTGTTACCAAAGCGGCATGGGAATACATTCGATCAGCGCAGTATCCCAAAAAGTAGCTAGTTATTTAAATTTAAACGATGCAAGCGCATACACGGGTCACTTTTTACGACGAACTTCAGCAACAATTGATGGAGGCGTAAATCTAGAATGCCTTAAACGACATGGGGGCTGGAAATCAAGCACGGTTGCCGAAGGATATATAGAGGATTCAATTAGAAATAAGAACGATAATGCTCAAAAAATTTTAAACCCTCATGATTCGCCAACATCGGGAATGATTGCTGAAAGTTGTTCTCGACCATCAGTATCATCAACAATTACCAATGCGTATCAAGAGTCGGGGACATTTTTGCATTGTTTCAATTTTGAAAATGCCTCATTAACTAATTGTACTTTTAATATTACTATAAATAAATATCATTCTAGATATACAAAAGTTAAATGAAAGACAGAAAATTATGATAAAAAGCGTTGAAACAAAACAATAAAAAATACAAAAAAATAATTAAATTTAGTTTGTAAAAAGTAAATTTTTTTTAAATATAATACATTCGAATACACATACGTAAAATTGTAATTTTATTTGTATGTATGCTGATAACACTTAACTTTTTTATTAACGAAAATTCTTGTGTTACAAAAACAGCTAAAAAAAGCGTTGCGAAAATTTTTTAATTAAATTTAAAACTTCCGTTTCCACGTTAATCGCATCAGGGAAATATATGTATAAATATCCTACCTTACAGTTCATTTTCGTTGAAAAATTCACACTGAAATTACTCAGAGTATTTTAACAAGTTATTAAAATATTTGATTTTCGTCTCACAAAGAATTATATCCGTTAGAATTCCCTCGTTGGAATACAAAACAAACTGAGAAAAATTTCCGGTATGCAAAGGCTTTTAGTCAATTTGAACAGGTAGTTACTTATCTCTTAAAAATAAGGCTTAATGGAAAATAAAAGGCGGTAAGTACGGGTACAATAAAATATGACAAAACTCTAGGAAGAATGAATGCAAAATTGTCAACAGGTACATTCTTTTAGGGTTTTGTGAAGATGTAATTATTCGACAGATACCTCGATGGTTTTATTACTTTAAGAACTGGCCGTTCTAATACAAAAACACAATTTTAAGAGGTATTAGTATATAATATTTACAGGTTATTTAGATTCCACTTTTAACATTGAATTTCTACAATTTTATTTGTTTTTTTTATTATTCTTCTTCTTCTTTCAGTGCCCTGTCCGATTATCGAACGTTGGCGATCATATTGGCAATAATAACATTATTCACGGCGGCTCTAAATAAATTAAAGGCGGTTTCTTGATACCATTCTCGGAGATTTCGTAGCCAGGATGTTCTTCGTCGGCCTGGGCCTCTCCTTCCGTTGATCTTACCCTGTATTATGAGGTGTAGAAGGTTATACCTCTCTGGATGTCTCATTACATGACCGAAATATTGTAACTTCCGAATTTTTATCGTTTTTGTTATTTCTGTGCTCTTTTTCGTTCGATGTAAAACTATTTCATTTCTTATTCGATCAACCCAACTTATCCGCAATACTCGTCGATAAATCCACATCTCAAAGGCCTCTAAATTTTTTCATTAATGTCTCTGTAAGGGTCCAGCTCTCCATACCATACAGCAATGTGGAGAATATGTAGTAGCGTATTAATCTGATTTTAAGATTTAACGTAATATCTCTATAAATTAGAATTTTCTTTAATTTATAGAAGGCGGCTCTGGCTTTTTCAATGCGTATTCTTATTTCTTTATTTATATCCCAGTTATCGTTAACGTTTACACCCAAGTGGGTAATATTGTGGACTCTTTCTAACTCTATTCCATACGCTCTGATGTTCCTTGGTTGTAACTCAGTTTTGCTGACAACCATAAATTTTGTCTTAGAAGTATTAAGTTTAAGCCCATATTCATCACATGCTTCGGCTATAAGTCGTTGCAGGTCTTCTTTATTGGAGGCAATAAGTACCGTGTCTCTGCATATCTGAGATTGTTGACATTAATTCCGTTGATTTTAATGCCTGTATCTTCAACTAAGGCTTCTTTAAAAATAAATTCGGAGTAGATATTAAAAAGTAGTGGCGATAGAATACATCCTTGCCTCACTCCACGTCGTATTTCCACTGCTTCCGTCGTGTTGTGTCCAGCTCGTATGTTTGCACATTGATGCCAATACAAATTTGTGATAATACCGAGGTCTCGGTCATCAATTCCCACCTGTTGCAAGACACCTATAAGTTTGTCATGGTTTACTCGGTCAAAGGCCTTTTCGAAGTCGATAAAACACATATATACTGTATATTTTATTTTTATTATTAACATCCACTATTTATCATTACGATATGGTCAGAATTTATCAATAAACAATTTTTTTAACCTAAATGCCTATTCTTTTTCTTCATTTGCCATATTAGAATTATTAGACGTTAGCGATCACCACTGCCAAGGCTTCTCGATCTTCTGCCACATGGAGTTATTGTCCTGCATTTGATATCTCACTCTATTCACGAATGTTTTAAATCAAGAAACCTGTTTTCTTTCTACACCTCTACGGCCTCCTGTTTTGCCTTTAAGGATCAGTTGTAGTGTTCTATATCGATTTCCCCTCACTATTCGTCCCAAATAAGATATTTTCTGGTGTTAAGTAATTTTTAGCATGTCTGCAAAGTTAGCGTATTTATGTTACAAGGCCAAAATCAGACCAACACTATAATTTATTGCTAATGTGTTGCTAATTTATTATGAAAAGAAAAAAATTGTTGCTGTAGCCGTCTCCGAACAAAAATAGGTATGCTAACTTTACTGTAAAGCTAGAATAGCCTTACATATATCTCGACAAGGAAATGGGGTACAGGACCCATATTGGCGGCATATTTAATTACTATAGTGAAGTCGTTTTACCCTGTCGTATGTCGGATTAACGCCCGAAAATTAATTTATTACTCTAGTTACAGCCACTCTGTTATGCTTTCCCTTTTCTACCTGCTTTGTGGTACCGAACCTCCTACTGGTCGGCTGTAGTACTTGAGGATAAATAAAGAGAACCGCTGACTACCTGAGGCAAATCTGAACAGACAGTTTTATTATTTATACGACAGGCTAAAACGATCCTACTTTAACTAATAGCTGTTGATCGGTAGACTAACCAATCCCCAAAAA